CCCTGTGAGCGGCCCCAGCACGGGCACTGACGGCGACGGCAGCCTGGCCAACAGGGTTCGGAGTAGTGCTACGGCCTGGGCCAGGGGTGGCAGGGGACCTGCAATGTGCTTGCGTGAGTGCGGCCCCGCCCTGAGCCCAGGATGCGACGAGGACCTCGACGGCAAGGGTATGGCCAGTGCCAGGGTTGGCAGGGGACCTGCAGAGTGCAGTCCTGAGTGCGGCCCCGCCCTGGGCACTGGCGGCAGTGGACCTCTGGGAGCGGCTTCGCATGTGGAGGACCAGGGGCAGCCGCCGCTAGCTTCTGGGGAGTTGGGCGGCCCCAGCACGGGCACTGGCAGCGACGGCAGACAGGCCAACTGTGTTCGGCGGAGTGCTACGGCCTGGGCCAGGGGTGGCAGGGGACCTGCAATGTGCGTGCGTGAGTGCGGCCCCGCCCTGAGCCCAGGATGCGACGAGGACCTCGACGGCAAGGGTATGGCCAGTGCCAGGGTTGGCAGGGGACCTGCAAAGTGCAGTCCCGAGTGCGGCCCCGCCCTGGGCACTGGCAGTGGCCCTCTGGGAGCGGCTTCGACTGAGGAGGACCAATGGCAGCCGCCGATGGCGTCGGGGGAGGTGTGCTCACGTGCAACTACGGCTGGTGCCAGGGGTGGCAGGGGACCTGCATTGTGCGGTCCTGAGTGCGGCCCCGCCCTGAGCACCAGCACCCACCCTGTTCGGCGACGGTGTACGGCCTGGGCCAGGGGTGGCAGGGGACCTGCAATGTGCGGTCGCGAGTGCGGCCCCGCCCTGAGCCCAGGAAGCGACGCGGTCACCGACGGCATGTGCGTGGACAGCACCAAGGGCGGCAGGGGACCTGCAAGCGCCGACCTTGTGGGTGGCCCTGCCCCGACTGCTGGCAGCGCCGCGGTGGCTCGACCTGAGCCTGTGCAGCCGAGGCGCAGCGTCGCGCCCAGGCTCGAGTTGCAGGTCGCTGGATGGGCGAGGTACTGGACCCAAGCACCAGAGGTCGGCGAGACGATGGAGTGCTACAGCGAGTGGCTCGACCACTGCGTCGGCTACGTCACGCAGTTCCTGTCCCAGCCGCGCTTCGCCAGCAGGCTGCGTGCGCGTGGGATGACGGCCGAGGAGATGGCCGAGGAGATCTGCGAGCGTGCTTGGGGCACTGGCATGCCCGCGAGGCGGGCTTACTACAGGTGGCGCAACACTTTGACGCGGTCGCAGAGGATCGTGTCGGACTGCATGCGGCGCTACGACTACGTGTGCCTGCGGTCGTGGCTCGCCGAGCTGCAGCGGGCTGGGCAGCCGCCGCCCATTGGCCCGCTCAGAACGTCGTCGGTGCCATGGACTGCGGGGCGCAGGAGACGACGGAGGAGTGGTTGAAGATCGGCCGCTCCTTGCTCGGCCAGCCGCTGCGGGGCGTCTTGCCCCAGCGGCTCGCCGCACGGCGCCGCGGGGCGGCCTGGCCCCAGCGCGCCGCCCTTCGCGCTCGACGTGATCGGCTTCACTGGCCTCCCCTGAGGCTGCGGCCCCCTGGCCGCTCGTGCTGCGTCTAGTTGGCCTGGCCGACGCGACGCCCTGCCGCTGCTCTCCGCTGCTGCCCTCCTCCTCCTCCTCCTCCTCCCTCCTCCCTCCTCCCTCCTCCTCTCTCCTCCTTCCTCCTCCTCCTCCTCCTCCTCCTCCTCCTCCTCCTCCTCCCCCACCTCCTCCTCCCTCTTTTCCTTCCTCCTCCTCCTCCTCCACCGGGCCAGGCCAGGGCCATCCTGGGCCCCAGGATGGTGTGCAGGCCTTCCTGGCCTCGGCCAGGAGGGCGTAGAGTTACAGCCTGCCAGGGCCAGGATGGCCCTGGCCTGGCACGGTGGAGGAGGAGGAGGAGGAGGAGGAGGAGGAAGAGGAGGAGGAGGAGGGGGAGGAGGAGGAGTAGGAGGAGGAGGAGGAGGAGGAGGGAGGAGGAGGAGGAGGCACGGTGGTAGTGGTGTGCATACATGCCTTCTGCGTGCAGGAGACGGGGGTCCATGCAAAACGGGGGTCGGTCAGAGCGCCAGATCTTGGAAGCTCCTGCGGACGCAGGGCTGCCTTGGCCCGGGCATGGGTGCAGGATCCTGCAGGGCCCGACGGACCCCAGGCTTGGATTGACCCCGGTCAGCAGATCCCCGAACATTTGCAACCCACGGCCGGAGGTGGTGGCGGGCTGCCCCCTCCACGGGAGGAACGTCGGCTGAGCACGCCGAGAGAATGGTGGGGCGACGGGGTCACGAGCCCGCCCTCCCCCTTCTTCTCGGGTATGGCCAGGACCCCAGGTAAGGGGACCCGGTTAGTGGCCAGAATCACTAAACCAGGTTTGCCGTAGCTGGTGTTTTCTCGGGTGACGGCAGTTCCGGTGAGTGGAACGGGGCGGGGGGGCGTCCTCCAGTACACATCACTAAACCAGGTCCCACTAAACCCGATTCTGCCAACGCCCGATCTTCGTTCTTCGGTAGCATCTAATCGGAGCCTCGTAGGTTCTCGCAATTCCGTCTCTCGAACACATTCGCGTGCGCTAGCGTTTGATGTTCTGGTAATCGAAGACAAGCAAACGCCGATCAAGCGTCCACTCCACTAGCGCTAGTTGAGCTTCGATTGGCGTCGATTCAGCATCGAGTCAGCGTCGACGAACGTCCATTAGCGTCCGTTAGCGCCGAATATCAATAGCTAGCAAGACCACCTGTGAGGCTCGCATAGGTTGCCACATAACCCTTCCCCGCCCTCTCCAGAGTGAGAAAGTCGGGTGGGGAGTTCGAATTTCGACCCCCCCCCTCCCCATACGTGGCGCCAGCAAACAAGGACGACTAACCAAGTCGTGTCCGCCAGCCCGTCCCGCCCGACCGACTCGCCCACGACGACGGTGTGTCCAATCCCCCCCCATGTGGGTGGCTTCGAGCCCCCCCTCCCCCCCCTGGCGGCGGCAAACGATGACGACGACGAGGAGAAGGAGGAGGAGGAGGACGACGACGACGACGTCTATGTGTCTCGCCCGCCCGCCCGACCGACTCGCCAACGACGAAAACGACGACGGCGTGTCCCGCCCGACCGACAGATCGACCGACTCTCCGACGACGACGACGACGATGCCGACGACGCCGACGACGACGACGCCGACGACGACGCCGACGACGACGCCGACGACGACGCCGACCACGACGACGACGGCGACGGCGACGGCGACGGCGACGGCGACGGCGACGACGACGGCGACGACGACGGCGACGCTGACGGCGACGGCGACGCTGACGGCGACGGCGACGCCCGTCGCGACGAACAACTACGGCGACGGTCCTGTGCCGGCGACGAGAGGGGAGTGGGGGGGCCGAACCCTCTCCGCGCCTTTCAGGAGAGGGGTTTCGCCGGGGAGGGGCGTGGGGGCCTGGTTCCAGATGGGGGGGGATCTGTTCGGAGAGGGCTGTGGGCGTGGTCCCGGTGCGGGGGGACGGCGTGTATTTTGACACCGGCTCTCTCCCGCCACGCGTCGCCTCGTCCTGGCTTGTCGAGGTGTCTGGTGGTCGTCGTCCGCAGCTCGAGGGCCCTCGTCCGAGGGTCCGCCGCCTCGGGTCTGCCCGGTGCGTGTCTGGCTCTGGCCCTCCTGGCCGCACGTCGGGCCCGTGCCCAACCAGTCGCCGTTCGGTCGAGCATCTGATCAAGTTGCCGTCGGGACCATCCTGGACGCTCCAGCGCCTCGCGAAACCTCCCGTCCAGTTCCAGGGGGAGGGGTTAAGGGTAGGGGTAGGGGTAGGGGTACTGCGGGCAAGACTTGTGTCCATATCCACTGCAGCTGGAAGTTCAGGCTCCCTTCCCCAGACCCCGAGGCGCACTGGATATGGATACGAAAATGGACCCTCTAGAGGCTCGATGTTTGTCCATATCCAGTGCGCCGCGGCCTTGCGATGCCCCTTCCAAGAAAATCCAAAACGCACTGGATATGGATATAACTCTTGCCCGCAGGTGCACCCCTTCCCGAAAGGGAAGAAGGGGGCTGGAAGAGGAAACCGTTTCCTCGTCCAGCCCCCTTTAGGGCGTGAGTGGCTCAGGGCGTTTCAGACGCCCGGAGCCACTCACGCCCTGAATGGCTGGCGGGATTTCCCCAATCACACTTTCGGCTGTCTTTCTCCGCCCGAAGAGCTGGGCTGGCGTTTCTTGGCCAACTTGCCAGAGAGCTGGCCCAGTTTCTTGAGACCGCGTTCGCTCCTCAAGCGTTAGCAGCAGAACTTGGCCCAGGCTGGTGTTAAGGAATTTCGGGAAGTTGGCCCAGAGTTCTCAACTCATAGTTCTAAACGCTTCGCGTAATCCCGCCAGCCCATCCAGAAACGATGCCCAGGCGAGGTGCCCTGATCAGGGATGTGAAGAAGCAGGCAGTGGAGTAAAGGACTGGGGAAGCCGCCATAGCCCAAGAGGAGAGGGAGGAGGAGGATGGAGGAGTAATCGGAGGAGGAGGAGGAGGAGGAGGGGAAGGACGGAACGGAGGGGGAAGGGAAGAAGGAGGGAGGTGGAGGGAGAAGGAGGAGGAGGAAGAGGAGGAGGATGAGGAGGAAGAATAGGCGGGTAATGATGATGCTGATGATGATGATGAGGAGGAGGCGGAGGAGGAGGACAAGGAGGAGGATGAGGACGAGGACGAGGAGGAGGAGGGCGAGCAGTAAGACAAACGGCCTCTTGGATACCTCTCGGGGTCGCTCTGGGTTCCAGATGTTCTGCTGTATACTACCTTGGACGCCGATGTGTGTGTTGGCATGCAGCGATCGTCCTTAACATCACAGCCCCCCATGCTGATGAACAAAACGCCCCTTTCCTTCTCCTTGTTCTCGCCACCCGCATCATCGCCCTCCTCCTCCTCCTCCTCCTCCTCCCAACCCTCATCTTCGCTTCCCTCCCCTTATGTTTCTTCTCCTCGGCATCTCCCTCATCGTGCTGCGGCTCCTTTTCATCCATCTCATTTCAGTGTTTTTCATTGCCATCGTTCTTCGCGCAGTGCATGCTGGACGTGTCCACTCTAGAGATGGCCATCCGGGCTGTCAGCAAGAGGCGCGAGACGTTGAACAGGGCAGGGAACGTCTTCCTGAAGGACCCCAGACACGCAGGGCTTCGGACTATCCATGCCACTTCGCGGCTGGATTTGCTTCACCTTATTTTGTGGATTCGGTCAGAGCGTTTTGACTCCATGTGCACTAGTTCGGAGTTGCAGGTGAAGTTTTGTCGTCATGGTGATCGGGGTTTGAACCTCGCAGCTGACGACGACGACGACAACGAGGACGAGGACGGGGACGGGGACGAGGAGGAGGAGAAGGATGATGATTCTGATGATGATGCTGATGAGGATGCTGATGCTGATGCTGATGCTGATGCTGATGATGCTAATGCTGATGATGGTGAGGATGCTGATGACGCTGATGCTCATGTTGATGATCATGGTGATGATGTTGATGCTGCTGATTATGATGGTGATGATGCTGATGGTGATGATGGTGTTGATGACGATGACGATGCTGCTGGTGCTGATGGTGGTGCTGATGCTGCTGATGATGGTGATGCTGATGATGATGCTGGTTTTGATGTGGACGATCCTTATGACGACGAATAGGATGGTGATGATGATGATGACGCTGCTGCTGCTGCTGCTGATGATGATGATGATGATGATGATGATGATGATGATGATGATGATGATGATCATGACGATGGCGATGCTGATGCTGAGATGGTGGTGATGATGTTGGTGATGATGCTGATGCTGATGCTGATGATGAGGCTGAGGCTGATGCTGATGATGCTGATGATGCTGATGCTGATTCGGATGACTCTGCTGATGATGCTACTGGGGATCTTCTAGATGCTTCGCGTAGCCCCCACCAGCCCATCCAGAAACGGTGCCCAGGCGAGTTGCCCTCATCAGGCATGTGGAGACGAACGCAGTTGACTAAAGGCTAGGTAGCCGTCGCACCACAAGAGGGGGAAGATGGTGGAGGATCCAGAGGATGAGGAGGAGGAGGATGAGGAAGAGTAGTGGGATGGGGAGGAGGGAGGAGGGAGAAGAGAGGAGGAAGGATGAGGACTTGGCGGACGAGGAAGAAGAACAGGAGGGCGGACAGAACGGCCAGATGCCTCTTGGATATTTCTCGGAATCTCTTCGAATGCCTCCTGAGAGTTCTGGTAGGCCTGTTGGCGCGTCTTTGGGGCCTCTTGGCGGTCCTGGGGGCCTCTTGAATCATCGTGGGTGCCTCGGGGATTATCTTGGGGCCTCTTAGGGGACTCTTGGAGTCCTCTTGGTGGATCTTGGGGGGCCTCCTGGGCGCCTCTTGGGGCTTTCCTGGGGGTGTCTTGGGAGCCTCGGGGGCTATCTTGGGGCCATCTTGGAGGAGTTCGATCAAGGGAGGGGGGGGTGCCAAGTAGTGTCCTCCCCTAAGGACCAACATTGGCCCAACACATTATTACAACAAATGATGTTGGCCGTGTCGCCGAGGCCTTTTCGGACGCTCTGACACCCTGCGGGGCGCCCCGTCCAGGTCCAGGGGGAGGGGGTCGGGGGAGGGGTCAATCTACCCACACGCCCGCAAGCCGTCTAGTTTACTCCCTCCCGCCCTCCCAACACAAACAGTAACACCCGAGCCTGAGCATGTTCAGCCGTCGTCTTTGGATGGACAGTTACTGGGAACCAAAACCGGCCCCATGTGCGCGACGCTGGGGCGAGGTACGCCACGCGTGCCTGGCGCGCCATGCGCGCCAGGCACCCCTGGGGCCCGAGCGTGACAGGCACGTCTGGTGCGCCAGATTCGTCACGTGCTTCGCGTGCGCCAGGTGAGCCGCATACTCCAGCCGCGCCAGGTGCGCCACGTTCGGGGCACGTGCGGAGGGTGTCAGGTGCGCCTGCGCACGTGACAGCACACATCGGGAAACATGTCGGCCCCCACCATGCTTGTCGAAAACCAATGCCCATCATTGTGCCTGGTGGGCCTGCGCACAGCAGGCCATACGCCACCACCCCCGCCGTCCCTGTCAAAAGCTACTAAACAATAATCGCGTGGTGGCCGCGCATGATCCAGATTTTGCCGCGAGGAGCATTTTGTATTGTTTTTTTGTTTGTCAGGGATGGTAGCCCTGCGCGCAACAGGCAATATGCTGACACCCCCGCCGTCCTTGTCAAACAAAACAGAGTGCTGCCGGGCCTCACCAACATGATTCAAGACCCAAAAGTGTATTTTTTGAAAGGGATGGTGGGGGGAGGGGGGGATCGCATCGTGTTGGCCGCGCATGCTCCAAATGTGGAGGCAGAGTGCGTTTTGTATTGGGGGGGAGTCCGCGTGGTTCCTGGTTGGTCTCCTGTCGCCTGGGGGAGGGGGTGTATATTAATAGGGAACAGCGATAAGCCCCTCCCCGAAGAGGAAGAAGGGGGGTTGGAGGAGGAAACCACTCACGCCCTAAAAGGCTGGTGGGACTAATGATGAAGGTGATGACAACCATGCTGCTGCTGATGATGGCGATGGCGACGAATGAGGAGGAGGGACACCAGGTTGGGAATTCTCGTTCTGTTGGGAGCTGATGCGCTATGGTGGCTCCGACTGCTCATCGGTGTTGATGTCCACATCGCCGCCAGGACCTAAGAAACAGAAGGGAGGGGAGGCTGGATGACGACGCCGGCGACTATGATGATCATGACGATGATGATGCTGACGGTGATGATGATGTTGATGATGATGACGACGACGACGACGATGATGATGATGATGACGATGGGAATGATGACGGTGATGAGGATGCTGATGATAATGATGCTGGTGACGATGATGATGAATCCGATGCTGCTGATGATAGTGATAATGATGACGGTGATGATGGTGCTGATGATGATGATGACGACGGTGCTGTTGATGATGATGACGATGACGACGGGGCAAGCATGATGTTAACGTAGTTAAGGTTTTCGTGCTCCAGGGTATTCGCGCTTGTTCTCTCAAGCCCTTGATTTCTGCAACTGATATGATGACGATGACGACGATGACGATGTCGACGACGATGCTGATGATGCTGCTGATGATGATGCTGATGATTCTGATGATGTTTAGTGTGATGATGTTGTCGATGAGGACGACGACGCGGATGACGACGATTTTGATGATGATGAGGATGATTATGATGATGTTGCTGTTGATGATGATGATGATGATGATGATGATGATGGTGACGATGATCCCAACATGATAATGGTGATGACGATGATGAGGGTGATGCTGATACGGTTGTTGTTGATGATGGTGATGATTGTGATGCTAAATATGAGGATGTGGATGCAGAGGATGATGATTTTGTTGATGATGATGATGATGATGATGATGATGATGATGATAATGGGGATGCTGATGATGATGATGATGATGTTGCTGGTGATGCTGATGGTGCTGACGATAATGAGTATCATGATGATGATGGTGGTGATGGTGATGATGATGATGATGCTGATGATGCTGATGCTGATGCTGATGCTGATGCTGATGCTGATGCTGATGATTTCGCTACTGAAGGTGATGCTGCTGATGCTGCTGTTGATGCTGATGATGATGCTGCTGATGATGCTGATGATAATAATGATGCCGATGATGCTGATAATGCTGATGCTGATACTGATGATGATGATGATGAGGATGATGAGGATGATGAGGATGATGATGATGATGATGAGGATGATGAGGATGATGAGGGTGATGTTGATGTTGGTGTTGATGATGATGCTGATGCTTATGAGGATGAGGGTAAGGATGTTGATGATGCTGCCGATGAGGATGATGATAATGATGATGATGATGATGATGATGATGATGGTGCTGATGATGGAGATGATGATGGAGATGATGATGATGATGATGATGATGATGATGATGATGATGATGATGATGATGATGATGATGGTGATGGTGATAATGGTGATGGTGATGCTGCTGCTGCTGCTGATGATGATGATGATGGTGATGATGATGATGATGATGCTGATGACGATGATGATGATGACATTCGTGATCGCAATGAGAAGGATCAGAAGGAGAAGGATGAGGAGAAGGTGGAGGATGAGGAGACTGAGGAGAAGGAGGAGGAGGTGGTGGTGGAAGAAGAGAAGAAGGAGGAAGAGGAGGAGGAGGAGGACGACGAGGACGAGGGAGGAGGAGGGGAAGTGGAGGAGGAGGAGGAGGAGGAGGAGGAAGAAAAGGTCCCGAAGGGGGGTCCGAACGAGGCCCCACCGAGCCTGTAAGGCGTCCGTCCAGGCCGTCACAGCACCGCGCCGCCCGCCACCGCACCGCGCTGCCCTCCCGGCCGACCGTCGCCTGCACCATGCTGCGCCCGAAGCGGAACCGGGGGCCACCGAGAGGTCCCGAAGAGGTGGGGCATCCACAGGCCCCCTCGCGCAGGGAAAAAAATCGCGGCAGTAGGTTTTTCGCTATTCTTTCGGCCTCTGGGGGCCCCAGTGCAGGCCTCGGGACCGTCAAAGAGCGACTCTGGATGGAAAACCGGTCCCAGGGAAAGGGTCCAGACCTGTCGGAGCTCGACGTTGCGACAAAAAAATCTCGACGTCCTGGGTGCTGGGGCGGGGAAGCCCAGACGGGCGTGCCCGCAAGGGGCCCCGAAAGAGAGGTCCCCAGGGGGTGGGGGGGTCCTGAAGGGCGTCCCCAAGGGAGCTCCGGCTTCCGATTTCCGAGCCGACGCGGCGATCGCCGATTTGATTTAGCTCCGATTTTAACAGGCGACGGAATTTTGACCTCGATCTGGCTTCCTGGTCCGATGCTGTCCCCAATCTGCCCCGATTGGCGAGGATGACGTTGAGGAGAGGAAGGTCGGACGGGGCCAGGACGAGGTTCCATCCGTTCCAGATCGTTCCGGAACGCTCCCGGAGCGTTCAGGGAAGGCCGCACCGCCCGAGACGTCCTCCCGAGCCGCCGGATTTCGGAGATGCTCGATTTACCCTCACCCGAAGTTGTCCTCGTCCTGGCTTCGTCCTAGAAGTGGGGGGGAGACCCGAGCGAGTGAAGCATCCACGAAGTGCTGATGCTGCAGCGCGCACGCCTGGGCCCAGGCTCCTCCCGTCACCACGGCTCGGGGGTGGACAGAACCCCCAACAGTGACACGTCGATTAGTGAATTGTCCGCTTTCGGTTCTCGAGAGAGCGCCGTGGCCGTTATTTTCCAGGCTCGCGCCCGCCAGGTTTGGACCTCAGGTCGTTTTCACTAAACCACGTTTTACTAAAGGGGGGTCTGTCCATCCCCGAACGGCTGGGTGCAGCTCGCAGAATGGAACCCGGGCGGACCGCGGAAAGGGCCTGCAGAGAGGGGCATCCTGGAGCTCATCTGGGTCTGGGGGCGCGGCATCTGCAGGGGCCAAGTAGGGGATCGACTACAGGTTTGATTTACCCCAGAACTCGCTTGTTCGCCGAATCCATGATAAGTTCGTAGAATTTTCGTAGATCTACGAAAATTTCACGTATAACTCGACGAGAAGGTCAATGTGTGTGTGGGATAAATCAACTCTGTAGTCGATCCCCTACTCGAAGGGGGCAGGGTTTGGATGCCGAGAGGTCTGATCTGTTTGGGACCCCAGGAAATCGGTCGGGAGGGGGGTTGAAGCCAAATCCGCTCACAATCGGTCAAAGAGAAACCAGGTCAACGTATGATTATCCTGGGGCCCGACAAGGGCCCGCAGAGGCCGCAGAAATCAAACAACTTCCTCGGAGCCAGAAGCTCTTCCCCCTCTCCTGCTGGGCGGAACCGGTGCCGGGCCACCTCAGACCCCCATCGGGGCTCACGAGACGGGGTCAGTGGAAACGGGTGTCAGCTAGAGCGCCAGATCTTGCAGGAGCCTGCATGGCCAGGGGTGCACTGACCCAGCTTAGGGCGCAGGAACCTGCCGGATCTTGCAGGATTCTGCAAGGCCCAGCTGGCCCGGGCTTTGCACTGACCTGGGTCAGTCGATCCCCGACCCCAGCCGGTTCCAAGGGAGGGCGGCTCCTCAGATGGGGCCCGTGTCCTTCAAAGAGCAGGTGCCCGCGCGCCCGCGCAGTGGCAGGGGTGGGGTGGGGGGGCTCCCTCGGAAGGCCGCCTGCTCCCCAAGCGGCTTTGCCCCCGTGCTCGGCGGGCGCGCCGAAGTGAGTTGGGCGTCGGCGCGAGGGGCATCGCCTTCGGAGGGCAGGGGGGGGAGGCCCCTTTGCTTCCCAGACCCCATCGCGTGCTGAGAAGATCGCGGCGGCAAGTTTTGGAGATATTTCCTGCCTCTGGGGACCCTTCGCCAGGCCTCGGGACGACCGTCCAACAACCGCTCGGGATGAAGAAGTCGTTGTTTTCTCATTCGTTGTTTTGCCGATCGGCGCGGGCCCTCGCAGCCCTCCCCTCCCCCCACCCATGGAGTAGATGTTGGGTGTTTTTGGCGCCTGTTTCAAGCAGATGGAGTCTCCCTCATGGGACCCACTCCTGCAAACAGTCGCATTAAGCGGAGGTCTGGAGTGAGCCCCCCCCTCCCCCCCCCCTTCCGCTTGATGTCGAACCGCAGAAAATCAGATAACGTTCGCAGACAGGTCCTGGGGAATGGGTCGAGCCCCCACAGACTCGACGCTGCGAACGAACATGTTACGTTGCATCTTCGGGTAACCTCGCATGTCCCCCAAAATCGGTGTCTTTCCTTGTGCCCGATGCGGACTCGACGCGGATTTGGCGCGGACTCGACGCGGATCCGACACGGACTCGGCACGGACCCGACGAGTCCGACATGGACTCGGGGGTGATGACTAGGGGGGGGGGATATCATGGTGTGGGCCATGGTATTTCCCCAGATTTCATGGCGCCTCTTCTTATTTCATTACGTCCGTGGCCCCCCCGCTGAGCCGCGCCCATGCCGCCGGTCATGATTTGCACCCCCCCCCCCTCGTGGACCCCCCCCTCTTGGCCGCTCCCGAGAAAACGTGACGTCCCAATACCAAACATGAAGGAACATCCTGGGATCTCAGGGGTTGGTTTCTTGGGGAGGTGCCTGGTGGTCGAGCTCCTACTGTAAGATTTTTGTTCAGAACGCTGGTCCCAAGAGGTCTCGACCTATTCCCCAAGACCGGCGTTTCATCCCGAGTCGTTTTGTGGACGGCCCCGAGGCCCAGTGAGGGCCCCCAGAGGCGGACACTCTGGCGGAAAACCGTCCGCCGGGAGTTTTGTGTATGGCTCGACAAGGTGCCCCCCCCTCCCCCCCTTTGCGGGCAATATTTTCATCCATATCCATTGCATCTTGTATTTTCTTAGAAGGGGCGCCACAAGGCCGAGGCGTGCTGGATATGTGTGTGAAAGCCGAGCCTCTAGGGGGCCCGTGTTGTTGTCCATATCCAGTGCGCCTCGGGTTTCCGGGGAAGGGGGCCCGAAACGCCAAGCTGCAGTGGACATGAGCACGAGTCTTGCGTCGCACCTTTTTTGGCGCGCCGCCAACTTCTCTCGCTCGCCAGGCCACGGGGGTGCACCGCCCGCTCCGGGAGGGAAGGGCGCAGGAGGAGGAGGAGGAGGAGGAGGTGGAGGAGGAGGAGGGGGGGGAGGAGGAGGGGGAGGAGGGGGAGGAGGAGGAGGAGGGGGAGGAGGACCAGCGTAAACCCAATAACCATCAACGATGTTGGAATGAACCCTCCCTTCAAGCTCCCTCTTCATGGGCCCCATGCAAGGATACATTACCGCTGAGGGAAGTGCCCCGCTGAGGTCCGAGGAGGGAGGAACACGATGAGAGACCATTGGGAAAGAAAGAAGACGATGAACATGTATGGCGAGTGAACTGATGATCAATCGCGTTCCAATCGCTAGGAAACGCATCCATGACAAAAAGCCTTCTGGTAATCAAGCAAACACAGGGTCTCACCTGTGGGGGGGGGGCGGCTGGCCGCGGGGCTTTGAGGCGCACGGTTCGCGGACCCCATCGATGCATGTCAAAGTCACGACGGACGGTCTTCTGCTGCTTGCCCGGCGGACATCTGAAGTACAAGTAGCACGTTCATGAATTCAAAGATGTCGCTCAAGAAATTCAAGAATATGCACTGGGTCCTTCGCGTTTTGTGTGAGCTTTTCTTGTGTAGGATTTTCGAAAATCTGGACCCGGACTATTGTGTAAGAGAACGTTTGGAGTGCCATCAGTTATCTGCGCCAAAATTATTGAAAACTTTCAGCAGGGGAAAACGACTCAGGATGAAAAGCCGGTCCCGAGATTTCTGGGGAGCGGCGTTAGTGAATCAATATCATGGCGTCGAGGGTATGAGCTCGCCGATTAACGATTCGGGCGACTCGATGGGCGGCAGGGGTAGGGTTCGGAAGTCGTCCAGTACGTGGGAACCCTAGCTCCGCCGCCAATCGATTCTGGAAAGTCGACGGTTGGCGGGGGTAGGACTCGGATGTCGACATTTAGGTGTGAGGGGGCCGGCCGCGGGGCTTTGAGGCGCACGGCTCGCCGAGGAGTTTGCGGACGGTGGCGGCAGTGGTCGGGCGCGCGCGCAGGCGTGATTCCGTGATTGGATGTTGCCTTGTTGGAGCTCGTCGGCGGTCGTGTCGTGCCGCCGCAGAGTTCCCGACCCCTTCCCGCTCCCGATCCCGCTTCGTTCTGGATTCGTGTCTGGTGGCCCCGGGGGCACGAGCGGGCGCCGGAGGCCGCTCTCGAGGAACGACGCCCAGATGGAACGTGCCATGCCCTCGGACAGCTGGGGCCGCATCGGCAAGCGCTCTCGGTGTGCCCGCGCCGGTGGAGCGAAGCGTGTAGCATGTCCTCTCCGGGAGCATTGGGCGAGTGCTCCATCCAGCCGCCCCCCACCGCCCTTTCTGGCTGACGCAGAAGGAGGTCCAGCTGAAAGGGGGTTGGTGCAATCAGGTTCGGGGCAATTGTAT